TGTAGCATTTCTTATTAACTAGTTTGGTTTATAAGCTATGCTTCTTGCACTAAAACATTCTAAGATGGCAGAATGGCTTTTCCAAACCTAAAAAGAGGGTACATACACAGCTTAACAAACCATAAAGAAGTATGACCTGCAATGACCGGTGGTGACACTTGAGTTGTCTGTCCTGTGACTGCTTTACTATTAATTGGTTTTGCAAAGATCAGCTTCGTGATTACTGGACCAGAGGTTGGAGTTCGAGGCTTCTTAGCAATCTGAAACATATAAATAACTATGAAGACCATTTGCTTCTGTAAAACACCCGTTACGTCAAAATTCCACAAGATTCATACACATACACAGTGGTACAGGTAAAAACAGCTCACTTAACAAAATGTGTCTATGTATTAACACTGATAAAAACATTTAAAATGCAGCCATTTATCAAAATATTAAGATGATCACATCCTTAAGCCCATAATAATTTGCATTTTATTGTAAGTCCTTATTTTATCTTAGATATATGCATATGAAGAAAAACAGATTAATAATGTTTAATTTTTTTTTTGAGTCAGAGTCTCACTCTGTTGCCCAGGCTGGAGTGCAGTGGCATGCTCACAGCCACCGCAGCCTCGATCTGCTGGGCTCAGGTGATCCTTCCACCTCAGCCTTCCAAGTAGCTGGAACTATAGGCATGTGCTACCATGCCTAGCTAATTTTTTAATTTATTGTAGAGACGAGGTCTCAACTTATTGCCCAGACTCAAACCCATGGGCTCAGACAATCCTTTCTCCTCCACCTCCCAAAGTGCTGGGATTACAGGCATGAGTCACTGTACCCAGCAATAATGTTTAATGTTCAAAAATAAAACACTACAGCACAGAAATATTCTTTTTCAACATACAAATCATTCAATCATAGTAAGTTAAGAAAGTATAATGCAAATGACAAAGTCACCTAAATGTACAATTACAATGACCCCTGGATGCAAAATGTACACATTAAAGACAGGCTTATGTTTCAACTTTGGATCTACATATCAGGAGCAGATAAAGAGGGTCTGAAGAAGTTAAAGCCCGAGATACAAAAGAGATGGGTGCAGTAGAACAAAGATAGCTATTATAAAGGCAAAGGCTCAGAAATGCTATTTACTAAAATTCTGTTTGCTATACTTTTTTTTTTTTTGAGTCAGAGTCTCACTCTGTCATCCAGGCTGGAGTGTAGTGGCACACTAACAGTCACCGCAGCCACAACCTCAACCTGCTGGGCTCAGGTGATTCTTTCCCCTCAGCCTTCCAAGTAGCTGGGACTACAGGCATGCACCACCACGCCTGGTTAATTTTTTGATTTATTGTAAAGATGAAGTCTCACCAAGTTGCCCAGTCTGGTCTTGAACCTGTGGGCTCAGGCAATCCTCTCACTTTGGCCCCCCAAAGTGCTGGGATTATAGGCGTGAGCCACCACGCCCAGCTCCTTTTTTTTCCCTTAAGACCATGTCACACTTTGTCACCCAGGCTGGACTGCAGTGGTGAAATCACAGCTCAGTGTAGCCTTGAACTCCTGGGCTCAAGTGACTGTTTAATAGACTTTAAACTCCTTAAAGGTAGGGTCTATATTCTATCCATCCACAATCTGAAGCTAGATAATGGCATACTGTTGACCTGATCTAAAATTCTCCACAAGTCAAAGAAAGTAGAGTTACCAATGGTTTTATATGCAAATTACCACTGTATACAAAGACACAGCTACATCTAAAAGTTAGAAGAAATTTACCTAGAACAAAAATGAAAAACTTTCAGAGCATGAGAAACATTAAATGCTATCTTTTGGCAGATATGAAAACTGAAACCCTAAAAGTACTAAATATTGCAGATAATCATTCAAATGAATAAACAAACATGATCAACTTGAATAACAGAAATATACCATCAGATATAATAGATCACAGAACTTGATAAATATCAGCTCTTTGTACTCAAATTATAAATTAAACTAAATAACACCTTGTCTTACACTTGTAATATATCATTTTCTTACAGTCAAAACATATTACTGATAAAACAAAATGTATATGAAATACAAATCACTTTTAAAAAACAAGGAGACCCATTATTGTATTTAAAAATTCCCAGCTTGTGAAACTCTGATGTACCCAAATAAATCCACAATTGTACCTTAGAAAGTCAATGTAATTGGAGGGGCATAAAGAAAAAACACTTCCCAAGTACATTTATAAACCTAAACATTTAAAGTCAGTCCAGGTTTTACCTATATATACAGTATTAATGATCTTGAGAGGTAGAAGTATTGATACTCTTAGAAACCCATACCTAGCAATAGATAACCTTCCTGTAAAGAATATGGGCTTAAAGTATTTCCCCATTTTGAATTAATTTTCACAATTATATAGATATATGAATACTTACCAATAAGTTACAAACATATAACCAATACTGCCAAAAGCACATATACTGTTCAAATAAACAATCTTATCTTGCCCTTGTGGTTAAGTTTCCTGAGTGGTATATTGCTGAAAATAACTTCTAGTTCCATTAAGGAGCTATAATTTTTTGCATTATGAATTCTAAACTATCCTAAAACAAAATCACTTTAAGTAAAACAAAGAATAAAAGATAATTTTTAACAAGTTTGTCTATTCTGCAGATTAAGACAGAAATGAAAAAAAAAAAAAAGAAAATTTACAAATAAGGTAGATAACTATGTCATCAGATAATACATGCCCGTGCCTTGGGCACTGCTGGATAGCTGGTAAGGAGCTGTGTGGTCCCAGACTTTTGCCACCACTCTCACATGCTATGCACAGAAAAGCAGGGAGTGTTCACAAGCTTGTGCTTAAGAGTGACTAGGCCTGTTACTGTCTCTGGACTCAACTGTCATCTCTTCCCTTCATCTTTCAAGATGGTCTCCATCTTCCAGCTTTCCCTGCTGTCTATACCCTCACAGTCTCAATACTCTGACTAGACTTAAGTCAACACTGAGGACTGTCCAGAAAAATAACCCAGAGAATCATATACTCTGTAACACTAAACCAAAAATTATGGTGCCTAAAAAGGAAAAATAGAGAGAGATGTGTAGTTTTTGTTGTTGTTTTGAGTTGGAGTCTCTCTCTGTTGCCCAGGTTGGAGTGCAGCAACATGATCACAGCTCACTGCAACCTCAACTCTCGTGCTCAAGTGATCCTTCCTTCTCATCCTCCCAAGTAGCTGGGACTACAGATGCGTGCCACCACGCCCAGCTAATTTTTTTATTTTTTGACGAGGTCTTGCTATGTTGCCCAGGCTGGCCTTGAACTCCTGAGCTCAAGCAATCCTCCCACCTCAGCCTCCCAAAGTGCTGGGATGACAGGCGTGAGCCACCGCACCCAGCCCAGATACATAGTGCTTTATTTGTGTGTGTGTGTGTGTGTGTGTGTGTGTGTGTGTGTGTGTGTGTGTGCGCCTCAGAGCTTTGTAGGTTACTTATGAGATGGAAAGATTTGAGTTCCCTAAAAATAACTGAACAAGGAGAATGACATTCTAAGTCTATTTCTTTTGTTTTATTTTTTTAAGTAGAAATTCTCTTTAACAAACAGAATCAGGCTTTAGAAAGTAACAACCATAAAACAAATATAAGAATTAGATCCCAGCTTTGTTTTTATCATCAGTACTTAGGGAATTATAATAGAGGACTAATGGACTCAAGTACACTAGTCACTGAAACTGTATGTATATCCCACTCTCATAAATGAAAGAATGACATTCTGACGCATATTATCAGTTTCTTTTGAATGTGATTATGATCCATATTGTCAAAGACAGATAAACTCTGGTAAACCAATAAGAACAAGTTTCATGACTAAGGACAAGATGCTTGATGGTGACAGGGTAACATTCGAGAGATCCCAAGTAAAACTAAGAAGAGGAGATCAAGGATAAATGAGAGATGATCTTGCACAGGAAAGACAAGAGCCGGCATGTTAGCAGCGGCAGAAGGAACGTGGGCAAATTAACAGATCTCTTACCAACACAGTAACCAAAACCAGACTTTTAACGTCATTTGAGTGGCCAGCTCCCAAGACCTTTCTCCCTCCTGAGATACCACTTTCATTGCTCCATCTCCTTCTTCCTAAAGGCAGTTCTTTCCAACAGGGAAGGCATTTTGGTTCTCTGGTTGTAAGGATCACTGCATTTCTAAGAGTAGTGGTGGCCTAGCAAGGCCTATTTGGACATGAAAAACTGGAAATCACTCAATATATGTTCTAGTAACCTTCTATCTTAAGGATCCTACTCATACTAATTATAGATACCATTCCAAAGAATCCTCGATATTTTGAGAATTATACTGTAGATTTCATTATGATCAAATAGCATCCTTAAGCTAAAATAAAAATGTTGGGAGGATGAGTAACTCAGCCTGTAGCTGGTAGGCAGCATGGAGGCCACTCACATCCAGGTGGTCTCCCTCTCTAGCCTGTGTGCTACCTCCCATCACATGTCCCTGTCCTTCCCATACTGTACACAAGTGACAGCAGTGAACAGGAAGCTCAAATCAGAGGCATATGCTGGCTACAATGGACTGTTGCTGGCTCCGAGGCTTTCAGAGCAGCCAAGGTCTCCTAGCCTTTGGCTATCAGTTAATTGCAAAACTTTTGTTGAAAAAATTTTTTATAGTCCTGCAGCAAGTCTGGCATATTTATACCAGCCAAACATTCCAGAGATCAAACTACCACTAAGAATAAAAGCATTGTTAGGTAAGTAAAAGGCAATAAATACAGTAATTTGAATTCAATCAAAACTAAGTCTGCTCTACATTATTTAGCAAAAATTTCATAAGCATTAGACATATCAAACTTAAAAAAACCCACATAATTACTTAAAGCAACATTCAAAAGAATTCAGTAACAACTATGCATTTAATAACCCTACAAACACAACTGTGAGTCAGTTAAATTTTTTAACATGCATTTTAATTATAATAATAAGCCCCCTTTTTTTCTTTTCTTTTTTTTCTTTTACCTGTACTGTTTTTAACTGTTGGGTCTGTAACACAGAGGGCTGAGCTGTAGGATTAATCAGTTGACTTCCTGGGGTCAGTGCTGAGACACCAATGACAGGTTTCACCTCTGGCCTCCCTCCAACGGTAACTACTTTAATTTGCTGCGGTGGTAACTTAGCATCTCCTGACTGGGTCTGGGCTGTAACTTTCTGAGCCTGGGGTAGTTGGCTATGGGGTAGTGCTAAAACAATTGGTGAACCAGACTTGCCCAAAGTTGTTAAAATTAACTTCTGTCCATCTGGTTTAAGGGTCTGATTGCCAAGTTTAAGATCAGATGTCTGTGATACTTTGTTTAAAATAATCTGATTGGCTGATATAGTCACAGGAGTCTGAGCACCAAGTTTTTGAAGGCCACTTGGAAAAGCTGGTTTCACTGTGGTATTAGAATCTGCTTTAGTGACTGTGGTGTTCACTGCAACTTGGTTAGTGTGGTTACTGTACACTGTGATTGGTTCCGTGGAAATGGGCGTGGCTGCAGAGTCACCAGTAGAGTTTATGTTGACAATTTCTTCCAGTTCTGTCTCCATGGGAATTGGGGATGAAACAATAACAGCCTCAATACTATCATCATCCACTAACGTAATACCAGTGTCCATTATCTCCTCTGGAAGCAAACTATTCACCTCGGCTGGCACCACCTCCATGGTCGCTCTCCCGCTAGAAAGTTGACCAGGCACTGCAATAAAAGTTGAAAAATGAGTAAGTTACTAGGCTACAGAATAGAAACAAGAAAAAAACTCAAGAAAAATGCAAATAACAAAATAACCAATTTTAAGTAATGTATAATTGAATGAAGGATATTCCTGATACTTCTTTGGGTTAAACCATTTTAAAACATCCTCAACCTTCAAGAATCTGAAATATAATTACATGGGGCACAAAACCACAGGCAGATGCCCTTCTCACTTGGTCTCAGTCCGCAAGCATCACACACTCAGGAACATCCATATCACACATCATGTCACACAATCACACGAAAGGCCTTTTTAATCTCTGATGTGTCTGATCATCTTATTTTTTCCCAATTTTTTTTTCTTTCAATGACAGACCTGAAATCTGCTGACTCACACAAGGAAATAAAGATTTAAATATTAACACATTAGAAAATATCTTCAAGTCTCTAATGAGTTAGGTCCTAATACGAGGATACTGCACCATTTATAAAAATCCATTAAATACCCACAGTTAAAGGAGTTTCTAGAGTAATCAGCTGCAGATCAAAGGTTTGTGTGGTTCAAATTTGATCATTAGCTTTATAACAAGAAAACTTATATTTGGAGAGAAGATTCTCAAATCATCCTCAGACATTCAAAGTGTAAAAAGGCTGGCTCAGTGAGATGGCTCAGTCCTTGTAATCCCAGCACTTTGGGAGCCAAGGTGAGAAAACTGCTTGTGCCCAGGAGTTTGAGCAACCTGGGCAACATAGCAAGACCTCATATCTCTACAAAAAAAAATTAGCCAAGCATGGTGGTGTGTGCCTCTAGACCCAACTACTTAGGAGGCTGAGGTGGGAGGATTGCTTGAGCCCAGGAGGTCAAGGCTGTGGTGTACTGGGATCATGCCATTTACACTTAAGCCTGGGCAACAGAGCAAGGTCCGCCCCCGCCCCACCCCACCAAAATGATAGCACATAAAGTTTATGTGACAGACTAAATTGGAATAAATTATTGGCCCAGAGAACAAAGATCCACAGGAACCTATCAGCAACTTTGTTTTCTTCCCTTTTTAAAAATATAAAAATACAAACCTATCCTAAGACCAAGAGTCACACACGAGTGACAAATACTACTATGAACAAAATGAACCATCAGTACTGAGTGCTCACTATACAGCAGAGGTGACATAACTTATTCTGTTCTCTGGAAGCAAACTATTCACCTTGGCTGGCACCACAGGTAAATAGTGATGGATCAATTGATCAATTAGCTTGAGACAGGGTTGAGACAGGATGCCATCATCATTCCTGCTGTACAAATAAGGAAACTTAGGATAAACAACTTGCCCAAGGTCACACAGTCAAGGAATGGGAGCACCAGTACTCAAACTCAGCCTTTTGTAAAACTGAAGTTAATTTCAATCACAGTATGATACTGCCTTAAATTTTTTACCACAAGTGTTTTCTTAAAATGGAGGAAAAAATACATACTCTTTATAGTCAATTCTCTATCCCAAAATGTCACCTTCCATGAGCATGATCCATCACTAAAGACTAGCTTTGTCTTGTTACTCATTCTAGAGCTTTATATAACTGGACAATATATTGTGTGCTCACTTCATAAAATAATCATATGGTATGAGTTGTTCTCTCTCAGCATGTGTGTGAGTTACCTCTTATTGTTGAACTTATTAGTAGTTATGTTCCTTTTTACTGCCGAGTGATATTCCATTGTACAAATCTCCCACAATTTGTATATCCATTCACCTGTAAATGGACATAGTTTGGTACGATGACTAATTCTGTTATGATGTTGGAAATATGTTTTTCATTTACTTTGAGTAAAAACCTAGAAGTCAAATCGCTGGATTAAACAGTAGTTCATTATTAACTTTGCATGAAACTGCTAGACTGTTTCCCAACTCAACTGGACTATTTTATGCACCCATCAGCAAGATCTGAGAGTTTCAGCTGGTTTACAACCTCACCAGCAATTGGTTGCCAGTCTTTGGTTGATCTCTTTCATTTTAGTCCTTAAGAGGTGTGAAGTACGATCTCATTGTGGTTTTAATGTATAATTCCCAGATGACTGATGATGCTGAGCCTCTTTTCATGTGCATACTCTATTTGTAGATCTTCTTTTGAAAAGTGCCTGTTAAAGTCTTGTATCATTTTTCTATTTTAAAAATACTGGGTTAGACGGGCTTGGTGGCTCAGCCTGTAATCCCATGCCTTGGGAGGCTGAGGTGAGTGGATTGACTGAGCCCGTGGGTTCGAGACCCGCCTAGGCAACTTGGTGAGACCTCATCTCTACAATAAATAAAAAAACTAGCCGGGTGTGGTAGCGTGCGCCTGTAGTTCCAGCTACTTGGAAGGCTGAGGCAGAAGGATTGCCGGAGCCCAGCAGGTCGAGGCTGTGGTGGCCGGGAGCGGCCACTGCACTCCAGTCTGGGCGACAGAGTGAGACTCCAACTCAAAAGAAATAAATAAATAAAAATAAAAATAAAAATACTGGGTTTAAGCCAGGCACAGTGACTAACACCTATAAACCCAGCACTCTGGGAGGTCAAGGCGAGACGACTGCTTGAGCCTAGGAGTTCAAGATCAGCCTGAGAAACATAGCAAGATCTTATCTCTACATAAAATCAAAAAATGAGCCAGGTATGGTGATGTACACCTGTAGTCCCAGCTTCTCGGAGACTGAAGCAGAGGGATCACCTAAGCCTGGGAGTCTAAGGGTACAATGAACTATAATTGTGCTACTGCACTCCAGCCTGGGAAACAGAGTGAGACACTGACTTGAAATATATATACACTGGGTTTACACTCTTATTGAGTTAGAGGAGTTCTTTACATAGACTGCAATTCGTCAGTCACAATAATGTGGCAGCTCTACAGAATCACTAAGGTTTTGGAACCCCCAAACCTTTTTTTTTTTAGTTGGAGTCTCACTCTGTCACCCAGACTGGAGTGCAGTGGCATGTTCCTGGCCACCACAGCCTCGACCTGCTGGGCTCAGGCGATCCTTCCGCCTCAGCCTACCAAGTAGCAGGAACTACAGGCATACATTACCACACCCAGCTAATTTTTTGATTTATTGTAGAGACGAGGTCCCACCATATTGCCCAGGCTGGTCTCAACATGCTGCCCTCTCGCCTTGGCCTCCCAAAGTGCTGGAATTACAGTCTTGAGTCGCCACACCCAGCCACAAGCAATTTTTTATGTGGCTCTTCCTGATCAGGAAAAAACCTCTGGCACTTATGGGCATTTGCAGTACAGACCTGTAAAAATCAACATCAAATGCACAACCAGCAGAGAAAGTCAGAACAACAGTTTACAACAAAGGGCCAGCCAAAATGTCACATCTTAATAAATAAGTGCTCCTTATTGCACATCTTACCCATCCCAGAAGATGAATCTGCATGCTCCACCCCACTGATTCATGACGCCAGTGCCTGCATGCCACAGAGCCATAAAGTCTGAGTCCTTCCTCTCCTTGAAGTTCCCCCAGCTTGTTCGGATGCCTGGGTATGAACTTCTGTCCTCCTTAAGGGCATGGAGACATCAGCCCAAACACTTCATTTTTCTCCTTAAAGCACCCAAAGAGAAGGAGGAGGAGGGAGAGGTCACAACACAGGGAGATGGTGGCTTCATCTCCTTGAGGAGGAAGAGGAGGAGGAGGAGGGAGAGGACAGGGCATAGGGGGATGGTAGCTCTAACTCCTTAAGGAGGAGGAGGAAGGAGAGGTCAGGGCACAGAGGATGGTGGCTCCATTGCCTTAAGGAAGAGGAAGAAGAGGGAGAGGTCAGGACACAGGGAGTTAATGGCTCCATCTCCTTGAGGAGGAGGAGGAGGGAGAAGTCGGGGCACAGGGGGATTGTGGCTCCGTTTCCTTAAAAAGAAAGTGGGGGGAGAGGTTAGGGCACGGGGGATGGTAGCTCCATCACCTTGAGGAGGAGAAAGAGGGAGAGGTCAGGACATGGGGATGGTGGCTCCATCTTCCTAAAAAGGAGGAGGAGGAGGGAGAGGTCGGGGCACAGGAGGATGGTGGCTTCATCTCCTTAAGGAGGTGGAGGAGGGAAGAGAGGTAGGGCACAGGGGGATGGTGGCTTCATGGCCTTAAAGAGGAGGAGGAAGAGGGAGAGATTGGGGCACGGGGGGATGGTAGCTCTACACCAAGTGAACCGTGGCACTGACCCTCATTTTCCAACCCCCGCCCTCATGCTAACCCTTCCCAGAGCTTCATTCCCACCAAGCTGTACACCTTCTGCTGACACTTGGGCAGCTCTGAGCCTTCCTGCTCTCAGCAGCCCCAGCCACAGGCCTCTGCAGAGTAGGGGTCAGGAGCCGAGTGGGAACCCTGAGGACCATTCAGGAGGTAAGTTTTGCTCCCACTCTCAGCTGAGTCTCTAGATACTCCTTGCAGGTAGAGCCCTGGAGGCCTTGTACTCCTCTGTTCCCTGCCCTGTGTGGCCACTTGGTCCTTGAGTCTTATAGCAACTCCTAGCCTCCCCACAGGCCCTTGTCCTGCCTCCTTCAGAGAGCTCCGCCTGTCAGTACCCAGCCTCACAGCCAACACTGTCCACAGACATGAGGGCCTTGAGAGCCACCCTCCTTAAAAGCTAACAAGTGACCAGTTAGTGTTTCATGGCCCTAGCACAAGACACAGTAGACCCATGTCAGAGACTGAAGGACTTGACTCAGCACAGCAAGGAGCAAGGTGTGCTGATCGGCTCCCCAACAACCCCAGGTCCCCAGGGAAGATGTTGCAGCGGCCCAGCAGGGTCATGCATGCAGTAGGTCTGCATCACTATCAAGACCCTGAGCTTAGGAAACTCAAGCCTTTCATAGTGGGCGGAAGTAAGCCTGCCCTTTGTCCAGAGGTGAATATTGTATTTATTACACTGGACATTAAGCCTAACTGCCCCTGCTACAGTAAGAGACACTGTGTCTATCAACCGAGGTTGTTTGCTACACAAGCATCCTTGGAAAGACCATTTAAAACAAAAGGCTGTCACTA